TGCTCTTCCGATCTATAATTTTTGTTCAATAGTCAAAATAATTTTGTGCGAAAGTCAAAGTGATTGCTAGAATATTAAAACGTTTTATAGCAATGCTTATCAGTTTTAACGTTCCAAATTATTTTGATTCAACAAAAAATTATTTTCAGATCTATTTTTAGCAAAATTTTTAGACTTTTCAACAAAATTGTTCTTTCCGTGTGTGTATTCTTCCGTTTCTTCCGAGTAACGAGTCTGTTACATTTCTTCGTTCACCCGAATATTCCAGGTCGCTGCGCCTCACCTGATTAATTTACCAATCTTATCTCCGCCACGATCGGGAATCGGCTTAATTTCGCTCGGTAACCGCATCTCGCGCGTTTGCCTCGGAACGAACGGTGCACTCCGTTAAAGCGGAGAGCTGTGTGTTGTACTATACGTTCCGGCGCGAGCGTCTACCTACGCGCGGCGAGAGTTCGCTTGACCATCTATCTGCCTACCTATCTCTATCTATCTATCTAGCTATCTACCTACCTACCTACCTACCTACCTACCTACCCTATCTACCTACCTACCTACTCACCTACTCACGTAAATCCATTTGCGCGACCTGTCCCGTTTCCGTGGTGTTTTGCGCCCCGCTGCTCCGAGGCAAGTTTCTCGCGCGCCGTACATTAAGGCCTCCTCCTCCCCCCCCCCCCTCCACCCCAATTTTGCAAAACCGCACGAACTGTTATTCGTACACGGTGCGCTGAATTCTTCGTGTGATTCGTTACGGATACGCGAGGAAGAAGGCCGATTACAGGCTACAGCGCGTGCGTTTCCGGCGTTCGTCCGCAAATAAACTGAGAATGATTTTCGAGTTCGACTCGAGAATTAAATCGCCTCGAGTCTCCCACCGGCTGCCGACGTTTTTCTTCATCGTCTCGTCGCGCGGACGAGAGTCGGGTAGAGAAGTAAAGAAAGACCTTCCTATACGCGACTGCGAGAGAAACGCAACCGCGGCGAAACAGATCGTGTCGGATATTAATCAGTGCGAAGAATAGATATTCTCATTGAGTAAACGTTCGAGAAAGAAAAAAAAAATTGCCTGGATGGATACAATGCCGAGAAAAGAAGCGTAATATTGTGAGAACTGTACTACACACAGAAACATATATACGCCAACACGTTTGGACACGTAATATCTTCGAATCGAAAGAGCCGAGCGAGCCGAGAGTAGTGTATGATTGATAACTCTTATACCGTGATAAAGATGTGGACGATAAGCGGTGCGAACAAGGTGCGATCGTTAATATGATAAATAATATTCTTTTTCTCGAGGGGAGGAGCCTGGTTTTTAGTACGCTGAAAAATTATACGGAAAGAACAATTTTGCTGAATCTAGATCTGAAAATAATTTTTGTTCAATAATCAAAATAATTTTGTGTGAAAGTCAAAATGATTGCTAGAATATCAAAACGTTTTATAGCAATACTTATTAGTTTTAACATTCCAT